AGAATTTATGTGTAGTATTTACCTAAATGAATGCAACAATTTTGCAATACATTTTGATGTCGGACAAGCTCGGACAGCATGACAAATGTTGATTAAATCACGAAATGAAATGAAAACAATTCAAATATTAGTGCGTATATGATTTCATCCCATTGTATTGGCCACAAATCTATTTAATCTAATAATGCACACTCTCTATTATTGTGCTTTCCAAAGTCATAAAGTCGGCACAAAAGCAAGTCAACTAATTACGATATAACAAATATTATTTGTTTATTATGCGCATTGAATATTAAGTCATATTTTGTGCTGCTTTTCAAATCATGGCAAACAGCAATGCTGCCATAATATGCTTAGATTTTAAGACTTCCACTCCTGTTTCTGATGCAATATGCCACAAAACTTCACCAGAAATGTCATTTAAATCCTGTAGCCTGTTATGGCCGGCACAGTCATAGCATGTTAATGATACTTCTAGCTGATCATCACAAAGTGGCAACAACAGCGAATGACAACAATACCAAGAACAAGGAGACCCTCGTATATATATAGACATATAGTACGTACATATGTGCAAACGCTTTTATGGCGCTTTGTGCAAAACTCGGAATTTGGCCATTTCCCTGCAGGTGCAAGCAATTTGACGGCCGCGACGAAATGTGTAGAAAACTCAAGAGAGTACAGGAAAGGAAAGGGGAGCGAAAAAGATTTTTTGGCATGGCCCTTATACTGCTGCATTTTGCGGTTGCTGCTGAAATTTTCGGCTGCATTGGCCGTTAAGCAGGCACTACACAAACAGCACTCGACAATGTCACACACACACACATACAATTTCAACAAGATGAGATGACGACGAGGATGACGACGATGACGACGCCATCGTTACAAAATGGCGTAGCCAGGCACCATGCCCTGCAAATGCCGCTTGAGTTGTTCGTGCGCTTTTTATGCTTCTTGTTTACAAGCTAAATTCATTCCTGTTCGCACAGTCAGCCTCAGTCGTCATCAAACCTGATGATGATATCTCAGGATCCCAGCAGTCGAGAGCTTCCCAGCTCGACCCGCTCATTTCACAATTCAGCTGGTTGTGTCTTGTGTTTTGCCTTGGCTTGCCTTGGCTTGCTCGTTATTGTTATTGCTGCTCTTGTTGTTGTTGTTGTTGCTATTGTTGTTGCCATGAAGGGGCCACAATGCAGTTGCGGATGTACATGGAGAGGATGATGATGTATTGCTTTACATTGGCTGCCAGCTCATTCAAGTTGACGTTGACGACACTGTCATTCCTATTTTGAGTTCCTCCAGCTAATATTCTCTTCTTGCATGTTTTGTGGCCATATCGTTAACACATCACTATATCATGGCTCCCGTTACTGCTAATACCCATACTGCTGTTGAGGCACGTGCCAAAATATCTTTCAATTGATACTAGCGTGCGAGTTCGCGTCCTCAAAATTCTGCAATGCCCAATGCACTGAACGCGCTTTTCACACATAAATTGCTCTGTCGCACGTGATTTGCGCAATGACGCCGTTGAGAATGCAAGAAGTACCTCAATTTCCAATGCCATATATCTCTTACAGCTCACACACACATCCACAGTTGAAGTTCTTTAAGAGCAATTTGCAATAATAATTATCAATCAGTTTTCATTCATTTACAACTATAGCAACTATATGTACAGAGCTTTGATTGATCAATGCAATGAAAGGAAAAAGTCAGCCATTTCAATCTCTTGTCATGGTCATTATGATTTTTCCTTTTTCTATAAATGAAGCTCATTTTCGAATACTTAACATTACTTATAAGCTACTACTTCAAGCTATAACATTCTATGTATACAATTTTTAGATAAGTTCAAGAAAAAAAGACCAAGCCTTAGCTAGTCTTCATATTCTTAAAAAAGTCCAGCAACAAACATATTTCACGAAACATTTTAATGAATTGACAATTGAATAATCAACGAATTAATGTAAAGGAAAACGTATCTGATATAACGTATAACGTATCTATAAGTTAACTGCACACTTAAGAACCGCAAAGAAATTGAAAACTCTCAACCTTCTTCATTCTGCAAAAGTTAAGAACGACCATGTCCGGTCGTTAGTTATTGGTTCTTCTTCTTTTGAAGATTCTCCGATTCTGTGCCGTAAGTCATCAAAAATTCCTTCCAAACATTGCTGAAAACTTGTAAAATAATATAAAACTTGTCCAACTTATTACATATGTATATTGATTGACTGTGATCACTAACTAAATCTCTTGAATACCAAGTCAACAGTATATTTTTTTCTTGTAAATTTTCTAAAGGGATGCTCAACTGTATCCTTGAGGCAGCAGCAGCAGCGGCAACTGACAAGTTATAGCTGGATAGCAACAATAACAATTCCAACATTATGACTGGCACTGTCCATATTGTTGCAGTCATTTCGGCATTACACATACGTTCCGTTGTCCAACTTATATTGCAACATTTGCCATTGTTTGTGTCTCGTTTGATGTTCATCTCTACACCATTCAGTCTGTCCCCTTTCTCATTTCTCTCTCTCAGACAACAACGAGACAAATGTTTCTAGTTTAACCACGTGCTGTTGTAGTTGCTATTGCTGTTGTTCTTCGCAGGAAAAGTTAATTCGGATTTATGTTGATGATGCTCTGACTTGTCCACCACCACGCATTTGTTCCATCTGAAAGCTAGTCGAGCTTCCACACTCTAGTTCTCCTTCTTAATGCGCCCTTGCCAGCCGGCTTAACGCTTGGTTTGTTGGTTGTCATGGACTTTTGCTTTTGCTTTTGGCTTTAATTGACGTGCAATTCCGCGATGGTTTCAATTTTGAAGTTGACATTGCGCGTTATTTTTGGCTCTGCGCTCAGAGCTCGCCCCAGTCCTGCAGCAGTTAGTTTTAAATGTTCGTTGACAAATATTAAACATTTCCTCACACACTCTATGCCCATTCATTCAAACAAAGTTGATAACTTTCTGTAGCTTATGGCATGTGTCTGGGACTGGGATTTCTAAGTTTTGCGGGGCTGTCACACGTTTTAGTGGTCAAACATACATGTATGTACGTTCTTATGTCCATATGTGGAAAAGTTAGCGCTTTTACTGACACATGTGAGGCGAAATAAAATAAGTAATGACCGACTATGGCGCAGTTTTGAAAAGTTGGTGATTAACTTGGAAAAATTTAAGTATTTTATTTTATGTTTCATGTAATATATGTGAATCGAATTAAACAGACGCCCAATTTAAGAACATTTAAAGCTACATTTTTGTAACGAACGACCCATAAAGTTTGCTCACTCAAGTGGCAGAAAAAGTTGCGAATAACTTTGTTGAGCAAAATTCCGAGTATTTTGTTGGGTCGAGCTAGTCTGGGAGTAGAGCTCGCTGTCAAAGTAAAACAAATATTAGATTTGTAACAACAGAACGAATCGAATGGTTGAACATCTCTAAGACAAATCTAATGACAGTTCACTAGAAAAGCAACCACAACGGCTATCCGATATGCCTGAGGGTCAATGTCGAGACTGTGTCTGAATGCGTGTGATTGGTAAAGAAATATGCTCACACTAAGGACAATTTATGTTTTTCTAAGATAGCTGCACACAATCAGAAAAGAAGGGCACTCAGCGAACGAGATACTTGGTATAATTACACAAATCGATTTTGAGAGATGAGTATAGAAATGATTTTCTCTGGAAATGCGTTTTATATAGGAATCACAAAAGTGTAAGAAAAACAATATGGGAACGCAAAAAAATTAAATAAACGTGAAAGGGACAAATAAATCAACTCGATGTGTTGTGCAACACTTCCGAATTTTCTGGAAAAACAGAAAGCGTGAAATTTTCTCAGAAGTCATTAAGTATATTCGTTGAGAGATCTATTTTTATACTCCAATCCCCAAACAATGAAAGCATTTCAGATAAACAAAATGTGGCTTAATATGCCTTTTATATTTTTCTGCATATTCGAAGTACTTTGTGTGATGTTTAAGTAAACAAAGAGGAACCTTAAACTCACGTAGTTATGGTCCAACGATCCGTTTTGGCTGACTACTGTCACCTAAAAAAAACTGTACCTTTTCAATAAGGTCCCAATTAAAAATCTTGTATGAGTCCAAGATGAAAATATGCACCGGAAGTGTATGCCATTGCTGCAAAATCGCTTTTAAATTAGTGTTAAAAATCAGCAATGCGTACTAGGGACATCAAAAAAGATCTAAGAATGCCAAAAGTTTGCGATGTAATGTTTTCACAAACGCCAAAATACTTGAAGCGTCTTGACTATCACACAAATGAGCTAGCGAGGCGGCTAGTCCTGCGAGCAAGGAAGAGTAGATTGAAAAGGAGGATCCAGAGAATCTGCCCACAAGAGTCCTGCAATATACTTATTTGTATGTACTCTTTTGATTTGTTTTTGTTTTCTCATATAGAAAATATATATAAAGCTGCCAGATAGGCAGTAGGATACGAATTTGATAATAATAAAATCTTATATTTATTAGAGAAACTTATAAATAGTCCAAATTCTGCCACAAATGGGCATTAGTTACTTCGTTCGATATTCAAATAAAGAACAGCATACTTTTAGCTGTCGCTTTATATTTGTTTCTTCCACTGCATTCAAATGCGATGCAGTAATTTCGCATTTCTCTTTTGATAGAAAAAACAAAATACACAAACATTTTAGGTTGTAAGCTGTTTTCTCATTTAAATTGCTAAACGAACTAAAAAATTATTACACTATAAGTATCTACTTTACCATTTCTGCGTACGACTGAGCTGCACAGTCTGTCACAAATGTTTGCCTTTATTAAAAACTTACGGCAGCTTGCCCAATAGCCTGGCATTGTCAGAAGACAAAAAAAAAAAAAAAAACTCTAGGAAATAACTGAAGAATTTTATCTTTTACATTATTCATATTCCTCTTATTAAAAACAAAAGACAAAAGACTGCAAATGTTATTTGTAATTTCTCGTTGTCTTCTTTTATTGCAGTACATCGAAAAGGTCTAACAAAATTGCAGCAGCAGCATCAGAAGAGGAATATCGGGCACTCGGAGAGCAGGAAGTGAGACACAAATAACAAAACGAAGTGGAAAAACTAATAATATGTCCAGAGTCTGTGTCCAGGAGGAGGACAGTACGCGGCAGTGAAATGCAATGCGGCAGCATTGCTCAAGTGGGGAGCAAATAGCCAAGACAATGCAGCAGACTAAGACGGGAAGGGCAGGGAAGTAAGCAATTCCGCGCTAACAATGAAAACTAATAAAGCACTTAAGCGGATTTTTTTACAAGAGCAACAATTGCAACGGCGTTACGCAGAGAAGCAGCCACTAAACGTGCAGATAAAACTATCGAGCGGCAGCACCAGAAGCAACAGCAGCAACAGCATCAGCAGCGAAGCATGCAACGATGACGCTGCTGTGTTCATAATGCGAAAAGGACATTGCAATTGTTCGAAAGGATAAACAAGCATCATCAATCAAAAGCGCCAACAGCAGCCAAGTCCAGTGAATAAACAAGGCGTGCGAAAAGAGAAGCAACATAGTATACACAAGGGCTGCAGTAGATAACGTGGCGTGGTCAGTGCGGCCATACAGGGCGTATGATTAACACTTGTGCCACTTGAAGACCCCGTAATTTGCTAGAGCAAAAGAGCAAGTCAAGCAACATGGCCACCAGAAGGCGCACTGAAAGGCTGGGCGAGCTGTCAGCCATTGCCAACGCATGTGCAATTGATGAATATATCAACACAGCAACTGCGACGTCGCAACTGTTGGCAACAGCGTCGCTGCTAACGGGCACAACAACAGCAACAGCTACAACAACTACAACAACTACAGAAACTGCAACAACGACCACGAAGCCATTAACGAATATGCAACGAAACCACCTGCAAAAAATGCAACTGTTGCCAATAATGGCACCAGCAACAACAACAACAACAAAAACAACTACTACAAAAATCCACAACAGTAACAGCAACAACACAACAGCAGCAGAAAAACCATCGATAAGAGCAACAGCAAATTGTGCAAAGTCAGCAGCAGCAACTAACACAAAAACTAAAATGACGATCACAGAAAAAACAAAAATTGCGGCATGCAACACACCTGCCAGGACATTAAGAACAAGGGTTGGGTCGGTTGCCTGGCAGTTGATCCCTCAACTAAAACTTCTGTTGCCCGCACTTTGTCTTTGTGTGCTTTTTGGCAGCGGTCAGGCGGGCTTTGCTTGCCTCAGCAATCCCTGTGTTTTTGGCGTTTGCATCGATGGCTTAAATAGGTGAGTCAAAGACACACGTATAGTATGTGTTAAAAAAAAAGGCTGCTAGTCTTACCACATATGTGTATATGTGTGCGGGTGCTTTTTTCTTCTGCATTTATTATCGCCAATAAACCCGTCCACAGCATTCGAGTGGCAATAAACTTGCTCACTTCAACGCCAACACCATCGTTGCCGCAGGATTGCAGCATTGCAGCACTCTAGGCAGCTGCAATGGCGATGGACGCAGCTCCTGCCAATGGCAGACATGCAAAGCGACACACACGCACACACACACACACACACACACACATACACATGTGCATTAAGCTGCACTTCAGTGCATACTATTGGCCACACTTTGGATTGCAAATTAATTCTCTGGTCCGCTCATGCATGCATAAAGATTCCCAATGAGGCTAAGTTGCGGTTGCATTCAATTGCACACTTGAAACCATTTTCATTAGCACACATCGGACCTGCGATAAGTCGTTGCTTTGAAAGTGTAGTATATAGCTTTTTTTTTCCAAATGGTAACAATTGCATTCACTTTTGGTTTCTTTTTGCAGCAATATTCAACATTTGGTAGAGAAAATGTCGCAGTTTTTAGCAGATTTGTGCAATGGATTTGAGCATTTTATTTATTCACTTTTCTAATTTAAAAATCAGGAGCTGTTTAAACAATGTGTTGTGTTGTTTTTAACTAAAATTAATTAAATGAATCGAACGAACAAATACTGAAGACTAATAATGGATGAAGAATCTTTGAAATGCAACTCATATAACACAAAATATGAATTCTGCTAATAACTAAAAAATCTTTTAAGTCAACTAAGAGCATTCTAAGAGACTTCTAAGATTATAGTCTTATACTCAGTTCATAATTATAATAAGAAAATATACTAGTATGTGTTTTATTTAATTATATTAAAATATTTTTCAAGTCAATATAAGCACACACATATGCGTATATTTATTTGTTCATTCAATTGATATAATTTATTTTTATGAACACTGCTGGCTTCATTAATTGTTAATATCAAGTGCTGAAGAAGGAAGAAAGCGTGCATTATGTTCACATTGTAAAATAATTATGGTTGCTGAAATGGTAACGAAAACTTTGCATAACCATTACTGCATATTCCAGAAGGGTATACAGATATTCAAAAATGTATTCTCTTACTTTTTTAAATAGCGAATAGAAGGCATAATAGATAGCAAGACTTCCCTTGTCCCAAGACCTGTCACTTAAACTCTTTTTTACCAAAATAAAAAGATGTTCATTTTGAATCTAAAATTATCATAAAGAAAATTATAACAAGAACTTAAAAAAGAAAAGAAAATCTGCTAAAGGGTGAATTTGACCCAAAAAAAAACTTCACAAATAAGTGGAAAATTCCCGGATTTACTCAAAATCGTGAAATTCCTTTTTCAGACTAAAAAGTTAATATTTCGTTCAATTCCATTGACATGCTTTTGCATTTTAATATTATCCAGCTTAGGCATATTAGAGAACAATAAGAATGTCAATTTATACAAATTATCAACTTTTATCCCCACTAGGTTGTCAAATTACTTGTGGTCATAAAACTACTTGCATTCGCAGATATGTGGGTCGTAAAATAGTTTAAGCCAACATTAAAAAGACCGACCAATAAAATATCAATAGAAGTGCTGCAGTTATCAAGTCTCCCCTCCTCTTCAATAAGCTGTTCGGGCGAACGACGCAAAACTATTCAGTTAATCCTTTTCAATCTCATATAATCGTGTTAAATTTAATTGCAGCTATAAATTTTTCTAGGAAACGCATAAAGTTCTTTCCGGCCACAGCCAACTTGAGATGTGGCTGCCAACAGCCAGCGAGCTCCGACCCTCTCCATCATCCGCCATCTCGCCATACAAGTACATACGCGTACAGACACCAAAAGCGCTTTAGAGCGCGCAAAGAAACATTTCAACCTTCTGCTCCGCTCGCATTTGACTTAAGCTTTGCGTGGAGTTATCGTAAAAAATATCGTAACCACTTTTTATTCGGGATAAAAAACGAGAGGAAAAGGGCGGCAAATGGTCTCAGGCGTTGTGGGAACCGCGTATAGAAATAAAATGGCAGTTACTTAGTTATATAAATGGCGTCAAGTAGAAAGATGGGATAGGATGTGGCTGCTACTTTCTGGTTCCTGCCATGATCTCGGTGTCGTCCTGACTTGTTTGTGCAATTGGTCTCGAGGATGAAATATATATTTATCTTTCATTTAAGCCACAAATTTAACATTCGCTCCATGGACTTATGCGACTGCAACTGCAATTGCTTTGAGTCCATGTGTGTTGGTGCCTTTTCTAACAGCAACTTATAGTGTGTGCTGAGCAGTGCTTTCAGCAAAAGCGCTTACCAAGGGGCTTGTCGGGTGGCAGCATGCTAGAGCTGCCTCTTAAGTTGCTGGAAGCTTTTGGTGGCAACTGACACACTCTGAACACCAATGGGGCATTAAATAAAATAGGAAAAAACATATTGGACACACAATTGAGTGTGGGATTATTTAAGTTCTTTTGTGGTCAACTGATGACAAAATGAATTTAATAAACTAGCTCATTCAAATTAGACATTTTACATTTTAAATAAATAAAATACCTTTAATAATATTTAGTTCATAAAAAAGGCGAAGTGGCATTAACTGTACTCGTGCACCGATTTTAAGATATCTTTATAGGCAAACATGATTTTAAAATCTGTACCGGTGGAGTAAGCTGGATAGAAATTGTATATTAGCTTGTTCAAAGTAAAAGCAAAGGGAAACATCTCCGTCCCCACAAAGGAAAATATTACGAAACGAATCGATGTAGCGATGTCCGTCTGTACGTCTGTCTGTCTGTATGAACGCCTCGATTTCGGATGCGGTTGAGCCCACATTGACCAAACTTGGTACGCAAATTCTTTTAAGAAAAAGGCAACTTCATAACTCAACTATATAATTGTCTATTTTGATTTAAAATTTTATACAAATTGGTGAATTCTAAGAAAAGTATTTAGGGAAACATTTTTACTCCAGTACTATGTAACATTGGGTTCGCTTTTCCTATTGTTTGTTTGATTACAAGGCATTTCACTGTCGTGCCTTTTCAACAGTATTTAAAGTTCTAGAATACAAGTTTCCTGAGCAAAGCTACATTTTAGATTATCATAAGTACCAAAGAGTTTTATTGTTTTGATTACCTTAATTTAAAGATTTAAAATCAGTTGTTCTTGCCGGCAACTGATACGCGCGCCAAATTCGAATACATTTTCTGCTCAGCTCATGACTACATTTATTTTGGTTTTAATGCCAACCGACTGCTCCTGACATGCACACAAATCAAGAGACCTTTGAGATTTGCATAAGCAAACTGTCTCTTCCCCACTCTACCCCGCTGGATCGCATGAATCCGCTGGGCTTTAATAACAATGGCTGCCATGCCCAAAATCCACTCGTTAGTCATTCCATTCTGGCATTTGTTGCCACTTTAGATATTCGATACAGTACAGAACATAAAAATGGCAACAGCAACTGCATTCGCAACGTCATTCACATCTAATCCAATCCATTAGAACACACAGAGCACTCCACACTGCAAAAGTTCTTTAATTAAGCCATGTACCTATCAACTACCTTGTGAACTTATCCAACAAGTTTCGCGTCTATTCCTATTGCCAGGGACGAGTAGCCAGGTAGCCGTGTTGAGCCACAGCCGGATAGACTGAGCTGAGTCAGCCTGCCAGCTAGCCAGGCAGGCAGCAGAAAAGCAGACAGCTACGGAAGATTCCCCTGACACTTTTGCATTTTTCGTTTCAATTTCAATTCGCTTTAATATAAAAACCAATCCCAAATGGCTACCAAATATTTATTTCCACTAGTCAAGTGTAATGTTACGTTAGCCAAGTTTATGGGGCTCACAATGCACTTGAATACAATGTACGTGTACATGTGTTTGTCTGGATGGGTCGGTGTGTGTGTGTGTGTTTGTGTGTGTGTGCGTGTTTGTGTGCCACACTTCAATTACTACAAACTACTCTGGCTGCGAGTACATGCACTACAGTTGTTGTACTATTTTCCAAACTATTTTTATCTAAAGCATTTTTATTTTTATTCTTCTCTTCTCTTTGCTGGCGTTGTTCAACGTTTGATGCATCATTGACACAATGGTGGGCATAACTAAACGATACGAAACCAAAAACCCATCCATGGTCTACGCCCACGTGTCACGCTGTGCCCGCGATAACAACAACAACAACAACAACAAACAAACAAACAACAACAAATAGCTCGTACTCGTGCTACTGCATTGACGGCTATACAGGGATACAGTGCCAAACGAATTGGGACGAATGCTGGTCGAGCCCGTGTCAAAATGGTGGCACATGTGTGGATGGTGTGGCCTACTACAATTGTACGTGTCCGGAAGGATTTGCCGGTAAGTTTTCATGCCCAGTAGAATGTGGCGGAATGCCAGCTGAACACCTTTTCTCAAACTAGCTTACTGACTTACAATAACTTGGAACTGAAACTTTGTATTTGTTTATGAAAACATTGACTTTGTCAGCAATATTTGAAAGCCCCAATGTTCTTAAAAGCCTATCAGCAGAGTGTTTTTATTTAAAACTGTCAATCGGAAACAATAATTAAATTTGTTAAGTAAACTTGACGATTGATTATTTCATTTATGAATAGGTTGTACCTGGGGATAAACTTAAATGTCAGCTTCTCAGAGTGAAATTAGTTTTACCCTTTAAATGTAGTTTCTTTTATTAAAAATATAAATGAGCAGTGCTTGTTTGCTGTATCAGCTGTTATATTTAGAATCAAATAACAGGGCTAGGGCCTGACACACACAATCGGTATGCTGGTACACTGCCAATTCAGAATCGCCCAGACAGAACCTAAACTCACTCTATTCCTCCTAAGGTGTGGAGACTCACAATAATAGAATGTCTAATAGGCCACATAAAGTAGTTTCCCAAGCTGGGCATTACAACCGAAAATAGATGCAGGAAATGCAAGGACCTGGAAACGATAGAAACACTAGAACACATTTTCTGTCACTTTCTCAAACAGCAGCAAATCTTCCTCCAATACACTGCGGGCGTTTTCCAAAAACACAGAAAGATGATAATGGATTTGATCTTCAATTGTACAGTGGCACTAGGATATCTAAAGCAGAATTCTTCAATCTAATTATCTGGTGCGCTTTTTTTAATCTTTATTCTTTATTTAAGATCTGTCCTAAGGAGGACAATTATTAAATTATATGGTAGCATTGGATTTGTTTAATCATGCGAACTGAAGCACAAAATGAAACCCAAACCATTTTCGAATTGTTCTTCGTTTTATAAACATTTTTCGTTTTCATAAGAAATCAGTTATGAAATATTCCACAAAAGCATCGTTTCTGCTCAAAATGCGTTTCAACAATTTAAAAATAGTTATCTTTTTAAAGTTCTCTTATCCTTGATTCGTACGGACACAAGTCAGTGTGGATTTGAAACTGTTGCTCTTCTGTTGCAAGCTTCCTTAATGGTTGTCGGGATTTTAAAAGGCACGATCGCATTTTACTTCTTTTTTTTGAGGCTAGATTTTTGTATGCCAAGACAGCTCAAGAATTTCAAAAGCTTAGTTCACTTTTGATAGGAACAGGATGAGTACGAGAAGTATATTTCGCATATATAATAAAATCCTACTAGGTATTCCTGCACATGTCTGGCTATTTTTAGACAAACACTCACTCACACAAACACACAAATACACACACACACACACACATGCAGCTCAGACAAAATGACAAAAACGAGTTGCACACCTCGCTGAACATTGGCGTGTTGCCCCACGAGTCGAGTGCTACGTGCAAAATGTGTTTTTATTAAGCCAAAAAACTCAAGCCACTCCACATGGTTGGCCAACAACAACAAAAGTAGCAGAGGATGTGGATGTGGAAGTTGAAGTGGAAGCAGCACAAGAAGAAGTGCAAACAAATAGACGTGGCGCAATATACGAGAAGATTGTGGCTCAGCAGCGCGGCAAATGTATTTGTAAAATTTGTGGCAAGCCAAGGAAAAAAATAATGTACAATGCTCTTTTATTCCACACTTTTTCTCGCATTTCTATTCTTCTTGTTAACGCATCAGAAGAAATATATACACGAGTATACTATGTACATATGTATGTATGTATGTAGAAAAAAGGAAAGATTTGCAGGTGGCAGCAGCAGGCGCGTGCAAAATGTCTGGGCGTTAGAGGCACATTGAAACAGGACCCGTCTAATGAAAAACAAAACTATTTTGCAAATTGCAATTCAAATCATAACATAATTTATAAATTATTTTGAATCGATTTCATCATCTCGAAAAATATGGTTTTTAAAAATTCAAATCGACATTCGGTGTGCAATTTCTAAGTAAATTTGTAATACGCTGACAATTGTTTTATTCTTATGGAACTGATTTTATCGTTATGGAAACTTATTTGTTCCCAGTATTTGGAAATACGCTTACCTTAAAATATCTGATATTTGCTTTAAAAATTGTTCAGATAGTACCAAGACTTTTACTTTCCGTTTTTAATAATTGATTTATGGAAACTTCTAATTTAAATTGTAATGCCAATACATCGAGATATTGGTTAAGATCTAACTTATACAAACAAACTGCCATGATTACGAAATTAAGTTGACTCTTTAATTTAAAAATTCTAGAATAGAATTAAGCTACTTTTAAACTACCTAAAAGATTATCACAGTATTCTATGGGAAATATTATGTTATTCATAATATTAAAAAAAACTTCCTGTTTAGAGGATATTCTTCACAATTAATTCACATAGAATTTATATTCTTGCCATACGCCGCTAACCTTTTTTTGCGCATTTACGTCAATTTCAATGCCTAAGCTACCTATTACTTTCATAAATTCATAATTCGCATGAAACCACTGTGGGTTGAGGTGCACTGTGCCAGAAAACCAACTTTAATGTTGTCTATTGTGGTAGTCAATGTTTGTGCTTAACTTTCTAGTCGCTACGTGTGTCTCAGCTGTGCGCTGTATGTGTGCAAAGTCCGGAAGTCTAACCATGAATGTATCTAATGTTCATCCTTTTGCTCGTGTAACGGACGCAAAGCGTTACGTACACATAAACACATTTACTTAGTACGTGTGAAGCACTTAGTGTCTTCAGCTTTCTTTTTATTCTCTCTGCTCTTACAACACTTTGGGTGTAAGTGTGTCCTGGCATGTGTGTGTGTGTTTGTTTGCTGCCTGTTGTTTGTTGCACAGCTGACTTTATAAAACTTACTGAAATTTATAGCATTTGTATAGGTGCTACTACATACATATATGGCATGAACAGCAGACTACAAGCAAATACAAATTTGCAACAATTTCGCCAACACTTGTTGTGGGAAAGTCTGGTGAGGAGGGCGAGCGCAGAGAAAACTATGTGACCTATTCAGACTGAAAAGTGAGCTAAAGAGATTGTGAAATGAGCTAAAACCGCTTCGATTATTTATATAAAAAACATTTGATTTAGTGAATAGTGCAAGGGAGAATTATTTTTAGAAAATAGTTCAGCTTATCAGATATATTAGATTTTATAGAAAATGCATAAGAAAATGAATTGGTGTGTGTTAAATGGAGAAAGTATCATTAATCAATCACTTTGCAGCTCAACTTGCTATATGAAAAGGTTTTCTCTCTAAGTGATTTGCGTATTAAGTGTATCAATAAAAATACTTCTGTTAACAACAATTAAGCAATTAAGATGCAAATATTCGATTTGTTCTTTAAAGCTGTTTCTTAAATCAAGAAAAGAAATCATATCAGGAGATTTAATTGTAATTAAATTAATTAATTAATAATTAAACAATTCATATATTTGAATTGAAACCGCGTAATAGCATAATTTAGCTGTACCGGTGCCAGTGCCAGTTTATTGGTAGCAGTAGTATGTTTTATTCATGTCTCCGTTTTAAAATGAAAATCGAGTTCGCAAAGGGGCAGTTACTCAGACCACTCTTTAAAAATATAGTCAATACTAAGCTAATAAAGTCCAATAAAGTATAGTCCGCTTATCGACTAACTAAGTGTTCAGAATATCACTAAAACAGCGAGGAAACCAAACATATTTCCAAGTCAAAAAATCGATCTTGCCCTTAAAATGCTATTCGATGTTTTACGCTATCATTAAGTCTTTTAAGTTATTCTGGCCCTTCCGTGTAAGCTTCAAGTAATCTTTCAATTACAAAAAGTCTTAGGGCAAAAAGAAAGAGGCACTATGCTACCAATTTCTATAGAAAAATGTTCTCTTTTCCGTGTAAATATGGACATTATATTACTTCAACATAACATATGCATTGTAATTCCCAGCAATTACATTTCATTTCATCCTCTAAAATTCATCATAAATCTCCTGCACGCCACATCACGCATACGCCACGTGTGTCGCTGTTGTCATTATTTTGCATATTCCAAATAAAGAACAATTGAATTTATTTAGTATAAATGAAACGCGGAATACAAATCATAAACAATACAAATGAAATCAAGCCGAAAATAGAATAAAATACAAAAAAATTATGCACACTGTTCACGGCGACGATGCCGAGATTTTTTGCATTGTATTTAAAAAATGCCCGGCAGGCCTCTTTTGCCATGCAAATGAATTTGAATGAAATGCATTGCAAAAATATTTGCACAACAAAAATATGTTTTTCGCCACAAAAGCATTAAACCAAAAAAATATTTATATAAAAAATATAAATATTTATTTTTTTCTTGTATTTGCCAAAAGCGCGTAACGGAAACGGCGGAAATGATGCAATAAACTATGCAGAAGTTTGCGCTAACAAAAAATGAAAGAACTAAAATGAAAATCAAAATAAAATGCTGTTTGTGAATGGCCCTCGAAGAGCGAGGTGAAATGCAAAAACAAAGCGAAAGTAACGGATGCCACGTGATAGGAACGCAAAGCGAGCCGGACGGTCAGAAATGGCGGGAAGGGAGGGATCTACACTAGCATTTAACCGCTCATTGAGTTTTGGAGCGTTTTCACCTTGTAACCTGAAAAGAATATTTTCACATTCTGCCAGCTCCGCTGCTGCCATATAAAAGAAATTGGAAATGAAAATGGCAGCGCCGGAAGAAGCCGGCAACATTCTAATTAATTTTATGAGCCGGCATGTCGGTTTTGTTTTTTGTGCTTGCCCAAAATTGTTTGCGGCCCTTTTTCCCCTTTTTTTGTACACTACATATATACGAGTATATGAGTTGGCGATGCCAAAAAGTAGACTATGATTTTGTGCTACTTACCAAGTTATTTGTTTTTATCACATCAAAGGTGGCCAGCCAGCTAGGCAGCCCACATTTATGGGTGAGGTTTTTAGTGTCTGCGCTTTTTCCCTTTTTTAATAGAAGCTCCGCAATTGGTGCTTTTCACTGTTTGCTGTTAATCAGGCTAATTAATGCGGCGCGTTTGTTGGCGTGTCGTTTCGCAGCTGTTTTGAAACTGAAAGGAGAAAATAGATCGGGTTAACTACTAAGCACGTTAAGATATAAAGATCTACCGAGGGTTTTCAATGGTTATGCCACAAAGAGAACAATAACTAAAACGGGGTCATCAAGCTAAGGGACCTACTTAAAATTTCTTTCAAGAATGACAAGATTTACAGATTCAGCGTGGTTTTTCAATCGGTATGTCACAATGAGGGCAAAAACTATAAAGGGGTCATCAATTGTTAAAGCGTTACTTTAAAGATGGCACACTAAGGAACTCAAACGAGATCCCAATCTGGAGCTAAGGGATCTTCCTAAAATTTCTTTCAAGAACGGCAAGAAATACAGATCCAGCGAGGTTTTTCAATGGTTACAAAGATGTCGAAAACTAAACTCAAAAAAACTTTAAGCCAATATGTACAAATAAGCAAAAGCAAACGTTGAGTTTCAAAATAAACTGGAAGAACATAAAAAAAACTTTGAAATTTTGTTTATGGTGCAAGCAATGCAGTATCGCCTTTACTCTCTTCTTAAATAGTTTCTATAGAATGGTTATTTTTTAAGCACACTGACTAGATGCTTACTCTAAAATTATGCTTGTGGCTTCAGTTATATTTTTAACAAACCTACCATACTGATTATTTTCTAAGCAGACTGACTAGAAACGTAATCCCTGTTTTCTTTATAATTCATTACTTGACTACTAAATAAATTAAAAGTGTTGTACTTGTATAAAAGGAATTGCATGTGCATGCACAAGTCTATTTCTAATTGCTCGACACTAACTAACATAATCTACATCAACATTGGGCTTAACCTTGCTCCCATTGACACACAAATACGGGCAAAGAAAGGCAGAACAATAAAATTGTTCCACACACGCACATGAGAGAGCGAGTCACACAGAACCAGCACAAAATGAGGTAAAAATCACATGCAGTGTGCTTCCATTTCTCAGTGTCACTCCGAGAATCTGTGAGTGGATGGGTGTACGAGTACGTTTTAGATTCCTTTATGCAATCATTTTAGCTGCAACCGGCACAACATTGCTGCCAGCGAAATGGGGAAAGTGAGGAGGCCAGGCTGGGTATAAAAACAATGCGCCATTGCCGTTGCCGCTGCCGTTGCTGCCGCTGCTTCTGCTGCAAATTGCGACCAACACCGACAACGGTCTATTCACCAACGCAAATGCTGCAAATCAACAATAAAATGGAAATGCATTCAAATTGCAGCAATGCAGTTTTTCAACACCTTTTCTTCTGCTCCTTTCACGAATATGCGCTTAACTTTGTTGCGCATAATATATATTTTATCGTAATTTTTCTAGCACCTTATTCAGCACGTGAGAAGGTTACGTACATAGGTACATGTGGATGGGATGATAAGTGAGCGGCTATATATCTCAACGACAACTGCCAAATAAAATCTAGTCTACCTACTGAACAACGTTTCGGAAATAATCAGCAAATGCATAATATTTAACGATTAGAAATGTTAGACAACTACAATAATTTAAGCAATATCTTACATTAAAGACTTAAAAAATTGTATGTGTACTCCTTTCAAAACTAATTTCTATAGTTGCATTAAATGTGCCTCAATCGAACTACAAATAGAAGGTCCCTTTAGCAAACAACAGTCGTAAAAAAAGAGCCAGAAAATGTACGATTTTAAGTATTTTAACCAGCACAGCTGTTAGATTGATGTTTGATGGTCAATATATTTATTAAATTGTTATTTTTTGGGATCTTTAAACTACCGTGTGAGTGGAAATAAAAGCAGATTATGTTGGCAAGTAAAATACGTTCTATTTTCGAAACGATTACTTTTTAATCCACCCATGCACACACCGATTTTGGTAGCTGTGGGTGAGCTGCTCATATTTACCTTCATCAGCATGCAACTGGAGTGTTCTAGTAGATATATATACATATATGTTAAGCATATATATAAGTGTGTGCGTGGATGTGCATAAATTTCCTTTCCCTAGAAAATTGTGCGCGCATTTTCACGAATTCATGCACATTCTCATTCAATCAAACACACATTTTTTCTGCAGCTGTTCTTTCATTCATGCCTTCATTTACGTTTTGCTTTTGCTTTCTCGCCTTGATTTTTATTCTGTATTTGTTGTTTTTTGCTTTTTTCCTGTGCTTCTTTTATTTTAATTCTGGCGCAGATTTTTGTCTTTATAGCATGTTTGGCAATCGCCGCCTTTGTGCAATTTCGCGCCACTACTTTCACAAACATCCGCCCAAACTATTTCCACCATTCCTTTTTTAATCATAATCATAGTAAGCATTCAGGCGTCCTTCACGGGCTTTTGTGTTTGCCAATGCACGTGCACCTAGAGAGAGGAAGCCCTAAAATAGTAAAAAGGAAATACCCGCCAGTTCTAAATGGCGTCGCTGGCATTTCTATGCCAACCGTGTGAACGATTTTTAAAATCATTCAATAGCCACCATGCCTTGATTTATTCGATTGCGCATACTCGTTCATATGCCTTTCATGAATAGAAAAATCGAAATTCATGCAACTCTTTGTGGCCTGTGCTGATTTACATAAATTATTTATTTCAATTACTCGATTGCCATGACATTTGCGTGTGAGCAATATTAAAATACTATGCTATTGACCATTGTACACCAACATGTTCGTGTCGGTGGGCCTTCGTAGCTAATCAATTGCATTTTGGATTTCTCGTTTAGTTCACTTGTTACTGTTTTGTATTGCCACTCGATAAATTATAGATGGGCGTATTGATTTTTATTGTGAAATGGTAGGTTTGTTCATCCTTTCATTGCTGCATGGAGAATAAATTTCAATTTATGGCAGATGCGTGTGTTGGCATTTGGAATAGAAAATCCAATGGATTGCAATAAAATTTGATTGTAAGATAGACATGTCTACTTATTTAGCAACTTTTCAGTTGATTACTCCGAGTTAAGTTGTCCCAAAGTAATCCCCAAAGCAATTAAATCTTTAAGTATGTTTCCGCATCTTACATGAAAACTTGAAGGTAAATGGAGAAAACAATTTTTATGCACATCTCAGTCAACTAAAGCTCAAGCCAATTTAATGATTTTGGCTACGGAGTTCAATTACGTTGGCAGTCAGGCTGTGCCAATATTATAGCGACATATTCGTCTTAAAATTGCCGTTTCATAGATGATCAGATCAAATTTCAAGAAATAAATCTACTGTCACAAAAAGCGCGATCATTTATGGAATATTATTTACAGAAGGTTAGGTACATTGTTCAGTTTTATTTATACTTTCAATAATTTAATTATTTAAATTAAGAAATTAACGTAATAAAGATCATGAAGGGTTTTTGTTTAAGTTCAGAAAATTTGGTAAATTAAAAAACTGCTTCAAATCTATTAACATTGCCAAATTTCATAAATCCTTATCAATTTGTATATAGAATTAAAACACATCAAGACAGAAGACTTATGAATTTGATAATTTTCAATATTTTACACATTAGAAAGAACTAGTAGGAAGTCAACTATAGTGCAAATTTAAAGCCCAATGCCAAAATGGTTATAAACACGTCATTAATATTACAGACAATAATGAGAATGGAAAATAAAAGAACTAGGTTTGTTGATACAACTTTTGGAATAATACATATTAATGAATCTGGCTTGCTCGACCCAATGACCTAATGTGTTTTTTCTACTTAACTACTATATTTTTGATTCCATATCATAAATGAATTACATCATGTGCTTTACATTTATGTTGTTTACTTTTTACTTTGCTTGAATTTAAAAACAATACAATGCATACACTATTCTGTAAAGAGCAGAATTGTGAAAAATTATGCCAGACCCATTTAAATTTTCTTTTCATCATATTTGCTTTCAGTTTGTAATTTTCCTTTGGTTTTGTTATGTAAAGTTTTTATTATTATTAAATTAAGATGAAATGAAGACTGTTTAAATTTCTTCTATTTAAATATATTGTGCTTTTTTAACGTTAAATTGTAAAAGATAAAGAATTTTTTTTTAATGATAATTATTTATTGTTTTTGTATATTTAGGACTTTTTACGATTACGGGTATGGCAGGTCTGGTTAGTAATATTTACTGAAATTCAGTTACGCTAATCAGAAATTACTCTACTGTCTGTTTGCCTAATTCTGACCCTGACTCTATATTCTGAAAAGATTACTACATAGGCAAGAATATATATATTAAAGAATATAATCAAGACATATTTAAAAACTAAATATAACTAGCTTCTGGGTTCGCGGTTCCCTGAAAACCTCATCAGCCCATGGCAAAGCATTCTCCGCTGCATGTCATGCCGGATTCCAAGCCTAGCGTTTTCAACAAATTTGCTTTGGCATATTTTGTAATTAAGCTAAATACCTTTATGTGCAGGTAACTTTGTGCATACCAGTGCAGCATTCCATTTAACAGTCGAACAAAAGTGCCTCAACTTCATTAATTAATTACCCGCTATGCCCAAACCCAAACTACACACAAAGCCGTGCAGCAGCGTCCTTGCAGCTCTCCAATTACAGACCAATGAGAGAGGTAGGAGAGGGGGGAAGGGCACCGCCCTGTGTGTGTGCACACACAGCACTAGCACTCGAATGCGATTTTCGCACTCATAAATTTGCCCATTGAACTTCTACACAATACTTTCTAATTTAACGCAACGTTGCAAGCTTAGCTAAAAATTTTCCACGGCATGCAATGAAAATGAAGAAAAAAATCGAAAATTGGATTGAGGCTGACTTTGAATGGCGTGATGGGGCAGAAAATGCAATAGGAAATGCCTAGGAAATGCAGTACCAAATGCAATTAATTAAAAGTGCTAATACGTACTACATGTCTGGGTGGCTCGACTTACCGAAGTTCGATAGCGAAATCAACAGCCAACAACCACCAGCAATGGTTTAAATTGTGAATTAAACCGACAACGATTGCGCAGCTCATATAGCCGAAAAGGACACATTTAGCATTTTAGTACGCTAATAGCTTTCATACACTATTCGTT